ATATATATATATATATATATATATATATATATATATATATATATATATTTCTAAAATAGAAAATTAAATTAGTGATTTTAAACACCAATCTACAGAATGCTAATGACTACCGTAATAACTAAGATGGTCAAAATCGATTAACTAAATTTTAACGCAGAGATAAAATTAGGCCTCATATCTACGGAGGTGGTTTTCAAACTTGGCCCTAAAGACCTGCTGTTCTGCATGTTTTAGATGCGTCTCTGCTCCAGCACACCTGCATCAAATGATTTTACTTCCTTCTCAGCAGCCACCGTGGGCTGGAGGGACCCATAATCAACCATTTATAAAATTGAGGTGTGCAGAGGATAGGAAATACTAAAAAGATGCAGGACAGTGGGTCCTGCAGACAGAGTTAGGAAACCACAGGACTAAAGTACTTTATTAATAATCACTCACTGCAGGAATAATAGAAAATGCTGTTGCAAAATCTATTCTGCATTCGGTCATTCATAACTCCAAAGCTCATGAACATGCATGATGAAAACATGCTAATGAATGCAAAAGCATAACCAAACAGTCAGTATGAGCTCTCCTTCCAGCACTGACAGGTCTCATCAATCAAAGCAGCTGTTCATTACTGGCTCCATATGTCGAGTGCCTGCCATTTTGGTCTGTAGTTTGAGGGCCTGAATCTGTCTGTCCAGCAGCTGCTGATGTCTTGGTCAACATTGTGGAGCCCATTAAGAAAAGACAAAAAAAGGTGTAAAGGCTGCTAGCATTTTTGCACTAAGCCCTGCTGTGGGTTCTGCAAAGCTGTGTCATAGAAATGCTAATGATAAAGCAGGATTCTTCTATCTGGGCAGTATAAAACGTTTCTTTTTTTTTTTTTTAAGGCCGACACTTAATTTGACCAACAGATTCCCAAAATATGATACAAATTATTGGGGGGCGGATTACTAAAGTCAATATTTCTTTTTCCTTCTCCATTTACATGATAAAAATGACATGATACCAAATGTTATGTAAAAATCCCAGTTTAATAAAAAAAAAAAAATGTATTAGCAAACAGCACATTAGCGAGGGATAGAAAATGGAGGAAGTGTCAGTGCATTTGCTTCACACGAACTGAAGGCACCAATTAATCTGCGAATGCCTGCATGTATCGCTCAATACGTTAATATAACCAAAAATAATAAATACTCAGTATCCTTTGTCCTGCATGTTTTTTAAGGTTTTTCCTGTTTCCGAGTGCCTGGCTTGAGTAAACGGCTGATGAACATGCCACTGTAGCTCTTGATGACTGCAGGTCATTTGATTCAGTGTTAAAGCAGAGGCGCATTTAAAACACATGGGCAGTGGACCCAGAGGACCAGAGTTAAGGATCACAGACGTATGGAAATTAGTCCTAATGGTTCAGTCCAAATTACAGGATCTAAATCTTTCTAGGATTCTAGAAGTTTGCTGCTGAAGGTAGCTGCACATTGGGGTAGCTCTGCTATTATGACTCCGATATTCTCTTTCAAAAGAACTCAAGTTCCTCTGTTAGTGGATCAAAATTAATTTATTTTTTTAATGTTTTTGGACATTTGTTTTGGTCACGATAGCAACTTGTTATTCTTTTTTATTGAGGAGCAGCTCATTCAAATCTCAAAAGCTAAAAAAAAATACTTATAACTACTTCTACAAGTCTAAACCGGGTTGGAAATGTGGCACAGGGGGTGCAGGGCATGAACAAGGAGAATAGAAAAGGAAGAAATTCAGCCCATATCTTCCATTAATTATTATGTGGAATTTGAGATCTTTAGGAAACAGGTTAAAAGAACTCGATGCCATAGCAAGGACCCAGACAGAACATCTGGAATGCAGTATTACGTGTTTTTCTGGTTGCAAGAACATATCCCCAACTCGCTGATGAAGGTTCTCAGTCATCCAGGTCATAGTCATTCCGTAAAAATTCAAAAAATATCCACTGGACTTGGTTTTCAAGATTTTTCAAACCTTGAAAACCAAGTCCAGTGGATATTTTTTGAATTTTTACGGAATGATATCCCCAACTCCAGTATCTCTCTGCAATCTGACATACAAGCAGACAGAGATTTAAAGCTATAGTGTGTCATTTTTAGTGACATCTAATTTTGACCGCAACATGAGCCGCTCCCATGACTGCTTCTACCCCTCCAACAATACACAATGGCTTCAGCAACATCTGCATCACCTATCTTGTTAAGTGATGATGTCTATTTGCAGAGATATTTTATAAATTGTATTTTATTACTTCCTTTAGGGTATAGATTTTATGAAGGCCCAAGACGGAGAATGTACTTATTTGTTCCACATCA